TTGAAATTAAATATAACTAAATTGAAGAATGCTAGTCGAAACTAGTTAAAAAATCAGATTTTACTGTATATTTCCGTTCTTTAAGATTTCATCTACTAAAACTTAGGTAATAGTTAAATCAGCATCAAGTATCTTTGTAATATTTGGCAGGAAAAGCTCGATCCCAAAATTTTTCGAGAAATACACGTCTAGAGTTTCCTGCGGATCCTTAAAAAAGTACAACACCCCGCATATCGCGAGATCGCATCACATTGTGAAACATTTACCCGCGCGAATTGAATCGAATCGAATCGAATCGAATCGATTCTTCGCGTAAATCGCAGTTCGGAAAAGGAGAGAACGCGCTGCAACGACGGCGTATCGGCGAGGTAAATATAGTTTTACTTGGCACGCGAGTCTAACGACCACCAAACGCAGAGAAAGTTCTTCTAAGCGTTCCGTGACCTTTCGTATCATTCCGGCGGCACGGAAAAAACAGCGGTCAAACGAAGGTGCAACGCGCGGACTTTCGCCGTTTCACTCGCACCGGCGCGACGCGGCGCGGCGCGCCGAAACGCCGAGAGAGCCGCGCAAATCCGACGTGTATACGTAATACCCTTAGACGCAAGACGCACGTTGCAACGCGTTTAATCTAATCAGCCGCGCGTTCTTTTTCCCGCCGAAGGACGTTGGCGCGATCCCATCCTGTCGCACTTTGCAAGCTTTGCAATATACGACACGATAATTTACCAACATAAATAGACTTGTCACGAATAAACGAGGTTAAAAAAAAACTGATTGAGCAAATTGCATGAAGATTAGTAAGTCGATGTCTGTTGTGACACGTACAATAATCGTTTCTTGAAATTTTATGATTATTACGGTACGTCATCGGATAAACGTGAGACGCAAGATATTCGTATTTTATTTTTATCAATAAATGCATTTATTTATTTCTAAGATTCTGCAGTATATGTAACGTAAATTATATGCTCTGAAAGAAATATATTCTAATTTTAATAAATTGTAATGTAATATGTATATAAATATTTATTTATATGAAGTATTAATTGGGTATTTACACATGGAGCATATTTTGATTAAGTGTCTAAAAATTTAGCGAGATACAGATCTAAAAATAATTTGTTGGGCTATTAAAATAATCATGCAGGACACATCGCAAACTGGTTGCTAGAATGTCAAAACACTTTGCAGTGTCCTCGTCATGCTTGAGACGACTGCGTAATTATTTTCATGGTCCAGTAAAATTTAATTTCAGATGTAGCTAAATTTTTTTTGACACATCAACAAAATTGTTGTCTTTCATATACCAAATGTATAACCATACATTCATATATTCGATACAAGAACTATTCGATTTAACTATAATATCATTTTTTAATCGAGTAAATATTTATTTACTGTAAGTAAATGAGTCAGTACTATTGGAAAAATATGTCTTAAGATTTCATAAATTTAGTTATCACAATCACAGTGTGCTCAAATGCGCACATTTTAAAGTGATTATTATATACTATATAATATCGGGCGATCGGACAACTCTGGAGCACCCTGTATACCAGGATACGACGAAGCGAAAGGCGAGCGGAGTACGACGCGCGGAGTGTTCTATCGCGCTCCGTGCGATGTAGGTGGAGCCGTCAAGGTGGAGCGCTCGATCTCGAGCCATCGGTGACGAGACGAGACGAGAGGAGGCGAGGCGAGGCGACGCGACGCGACGCGACGCGACACGACGCAACCTCTCTTTTCGGGTCAGGTCGGGTCGCCTCGTCGTCGCGACCGCGATCAGCAAATGGGTATAGCGATACCATTGTCGCGATCGCTTCGCCGCGCGATACGCCCGTACTTATACCGCTACGGGCTAACGCCCGTCCCGTCCGTACGTTCCCGTTTCATTTTCTCTCCGCTCGAGACTCGAGTGAGCGAGCGAGCGAAAGATTTTTCTCGCCGTCACTCTCCGTGCCTCGTCTCTCCTCCCCCCCCTCTCTTTCTCTCTCTTTCTCTCATTCTCTTCTCTCCCGTGGCTCCTTCAATCGCCGCCAAACTCCGCCGCGCCGCGGCTTGACGACTTCTCGGGTCGCGTTCTCGGTCACTTATTCTCCTACCTTGAGAAACGCCCGCTCGACGATTCGGCGGCGATTTCGTGTCCGCGCGCGTTGTGAGAGAAAGGAGAGGAGGGCTCGAGAGCTCCGAACAAGACGCGTCGCGATGAGACGAGATCGAGATCGGGATCCGAGGAGGAGAAAGAGACAGAGAAAGAAAAAGAGCGAGAGATAGGGGAGGGGGAAGAGAGAAGGGGGAGAGCGAGACCTGCGGTTCGTAAGGAGCAGTGGTGCCCCACTGTAACAAGAAAAACCTCTTCTTATCTATATAATCCTGCGGATTATGAAAATGCTTACGTTATCTTTAATTAAGATTGTGGGTATATATAAACGAAGCTAATATAAATAAAGTAAATTTTTCAATAATAAGACAAGTTCCTTCGTGAATTTCGAGACTATTTCTCTGCAGAGAAATAGATCGTTTTTTATAATATTTTCTTGTAATGTGTGAAATTAATCATACCGTATGTTGTTGCGTGATTTACGTGCCTACAGGCGAAACATACATCTCTCATTTTTCTAAACTCAAACTTATACACCGATATTTTGAACTTAAGATCAAACACGCTTTTTTACTATCCATTTCTGAAATATATTCCAATACACTATTTACTTTTATGCGTCATACACATTTTTTTGTATAACGTATCTTGTATAATTGTATCCACGAAACATGTGGCATTTATTAGCAAATATAAATATAAAAATGTGAACTACTTAATAAGCACGTAGCTTAAAATTTCAATTAGGGTAAAATTACAAAGGAACAAAAAGTATAAAAAAATATAGCGACCACACATATTTTTTATAATTTATATTATCCATTCTATAAAACTTTTAGGTTCGGTTCCACAAGCGTAAGAGATTAACTTTAATCTCCTTTTAACTTACTATATTTATCTTTTTCTAATTCTAAGAATCTTAAGAGTGAATTGTCATTTCGGAGAAGAGGGGGAGATCTCGCTTTGAAGTATTAAAAATTGAGCCTCTTCTCTTTCAAGACTGGCCCAATTTCCACTCCTTAGAGTGTGAGTTCCATTCCAAAGAATTTCGAGAGTGCAAATGAAGGAAAAGCTGGAAGAAACTGGTTAGAGCGGGAGCCGTCCCGAGTTGAGCGTCACTGATCCATAGAGTATCGTGCAGTGCGGCTGTAGTAGGGACACGGAGCGAAGAGAGCGCGCGAGGGAAGGCGGGACACGTGGACGTGGAAGGGGAAGGGGAAGGGGGGCTCAAGGCCGGTCGCGCTGTCATGTCAGAAAGCCTGCGCGCCGAAATATCAACAAGCCTTTTCTCTACTTCGGGAGCTTGGCTCGGTACTCCGATAGTCTCTTTTAAGCGCGCACCTTTCTCGGGGGGAAATCATGCATTATTAGATTTACAACAACTGCCGAAGAAAACTACTCATAAAATCCTGCGGTTTAACGTCCGATAGCCGGGCGAGAAGGTGGGGGGGAGCGAATAATGCAGTAAGGAGCGAAGAAGCGAGAAAGAAAGAGAGAGAGAGAGAGAGAGAGAGAGAGAGAAAGAGGGAGAGAAGGAGAAAGAGCAGGGCAGACAAAAAAACGGAGACAGCACGCATGCACGCGTGCGCGCGCGCATAAGTTTCGGACAGGTGGCACGGACTATGGTGGTGGCTGACAGCTGATAGTTCCTGAAACCCGTATCGAGAGGTGAAACGAAACTGGCTGGTCGGCGAGGGAGGATAGGCCACGCGAAAAAGAGACGAGACAGGTACATCGCGTACACGTACTACGTAGTCGAGTGTGTGAACTAACGAGGAACTCCGCATGTGGAAGAGAAGGACGGAACGGCGCGGAGTGAGAAAAGGGGAGCGTAACCAACTGTCAGAGCTCGTAGCGGCCGCACCGATGAAAATCGTCGCCAGGTGTTGCGACTTTGAGTCCGAGGATCTCTCGAAAAACTTTGGATCGCGTCGCGCTCTGCGTGCCAACGTTTAACGCGAAAAAGAACGCGCGAGAAGGAGAAAGGGGGAAAAAAAAGTACGCGAAAGGGAGAAAAAGAGGGAGGGAGACGGAGAATGGAGGAAGGGTAGAGCGCGAAAAGGACACGGCGAGAAAGAGGAAAAGCAGGGCGGGAGGTGAAGAGGCAGGCGAGGGCGACTGCGAGGGAAGGGGAAGGAGAAGAGAGGAGCGAGGAGACGCGAAAGAGAGGGGGGGGGAGAGTCGAGGGGTCATCGGGAAACATAACCTACGTACGTCTGTGCTGTCGGGAGTCGCACGGCGAACAGGCCGTAATGAATGTTACCGTCGCTTTTTTTTTTCCAAAACAAACACGAGAAACGCTCTTACCTCGTTCAACGCGCCGAGGCGCTCTTTCTCTTCTTTATCCGTCCGTCTCTCTCTCTCTTGCTCCGTTTGGGATCTCACTGTGACGAGGACGGTGAACGTCGTGCTCGTTTTGCCGTACGACAACGTCGACAAGTAATTCTCAAGGGGAAGAAGTTAGTAAGGCACTCCTGACAGTCTTTTTCACGATGACGTACGCGCGGCACCTATCCTGTCGCGCGAAGCACAGCGAAGGGCGATCCGCGAGCGAGAACGTATCACGTCGCACTGATCGCACTGTACCGATCACACTCGCGTGCACGAGAAAGAGAGAGAAAGAGGGAGAGAAGGTACGAGGAATGGAGAACAAGAGGAAGAGGGAGGCAGAGAGAGAGAGAGAGAGAGAGAGAGAGCGAGAGAGAACGAGAAAAAGGAGAACAAGAGGAGGAAAGAGAGAGACGGAAAGAGAGCGACAGAGAAAGAGAGCAGCAGAGCACCTCGCGCCGTGTTGCTCCCGGTGGATGCGGCTCACAACGGAGATAAAACGCGGACGGGCGAATGAACTCCGGAACGCGTATACGCGTATATACGCGTCGCGCACGCACCTCTTCACCGCACGCGTCACGTTACAACGGCGACGAGTTACAGCTTCGAGCCACGGGCGGTTACGGGTAGCCACAGGCACGGGCCACCTCCGACTCTCCGCTGTTACTCCGGCTGGTGGCACCTCCGCGCACACCACGAGTTCGCGCTCGACCATCTCTCTCTTTCTCTCTTTTTTCCCCTCTCTCCCTCTCCTCCGTCTCGCTCTCTCGCCGCGGACTTTCCGTGTGTGTGGCCCCTCGTACCTGCCTCTCTCTCTCTCCCTCTCTCTCCCTCCCTCTCCCCCTCCTTCCTTCTCTCTTCTTCTCGCTCGCACCTTCGCCTCCGTTCTCCCCGTCTTCTTTCATCACCTCTTCTCGACCTCCCCCCCCCACTCTCTGTCTATCTCTTTCTCCTTCTTTCTTTCTCGCGGGTGACCGTGCGCCGGGAAGCCAATGCTGATAGTACAGTACACCGTCGCACGATGCCGACACCGCCGACGGCCGTTCCTTCCGACGCGATGCGACGCGTCGACGTCGCCTTCGGCCGCTCACCGGCCGACATGGCGGACGGTTGGTTGCGGCGGTTACGAATGGGACCCCTTCGCTGGAATGTTACCGGTTACGTATGTATTATACGTTCTGCGTAACAGCAACCACGCGTAAAAAATGGAAAGTTTTTTCGCGATAACGCGCCGCGTCGCGCGTTCGCGATAAATTCCGCCGCCGTATCGAATCGCGTACCTATATGATAATAAACGATAAGGTGCGATTCCATTGAAAGAGTTGTTACGACGAGCTATAAAATCGTTTCGCGGCAAAACGTGGGGAAGCTCGCGGTTCGCGTTTACCGTACACGCAAACAGGAAGCACCGTATCGCGAGATTCTTCAATAATTTGATTCTCGGAAATTCTGGATTTGAAAAAAAAAAAAAAAAAAGCGGACTTTTCAAACACATCCGCGTTTCATTTTCGAGAGAATTTCTCGTCGAAAAGAGCGATGCGCTGCAAAGTTGATGATACGGATCAGTGCCGTCCAAAATTTGTATTTGTGCACTGAAGAAAAATTAAAATAAATTTCAATAAATATTTGTTTGAACAGTTTTAAGTAAATATTTATTAAATGTAAACATGTTTGCTTGATGCAAAAATTATTCATTTGTGTGATTTAACTATCATTTTTTTATTGAGTAAATATGTATATATTGAAAGTAAATGTTTACCTAATTCTTAATATTGAAAGAAATATCTATTAAATTTCTTTCAGTATGGGTGTTTGTTTGTGCTTATTTATGTCGCTTTCCTTTTTCTATCTTTATTAAGGAAAAAGTGGACACTAGGCATGAATGCCGACGCACAAGTTAATGCCCACAATTACGAATTTCGAACTCACGAGCACGTATTGTTGAATTGTTCAGAATGGATTCCGGCCGGAATTATTTGGTTTCTCCTAGAAAACACGATAGAGATAATAAGGAATAATTAAACAATTCCGATCGGAATTATTCCAAATACGTTCTGAATAATTTCATAATATGTGCCATGGTATGAATTATTAGGCTTGTTCGTTTTAGCTGAACTTCTTGTACATTCATCTTTTCTCTTTTTCATATAAGAATGGAGAAGAAAAGACGGAAGATAAGAACTGTGCGAGAAGTACATCTAAAAAGAACAGCCCGACGAAATTGCGATGGAGCGTGATATTCGGCCGTCAGTATTATTCCTCTTTGCTCACACACAGAGCTCGAAGGCACCCAGTCCTCAAATGTAGGACTTCGATACAGCCATAATCCGACCGCCACCAAACTTGCAGCAGAAAACGCATATCAAACAAACGAAAATCGCGTCACGGTTCAATGCTCGAGTTTGACCGGGGTCGCCACGCGACATGCTTCTTCGAGCCACGATCGGCTTTTCGACTCGCATGAATCGATCCCGCGTCGAATTTATCGATGAAGAAAAAAGTTTAGAGTGGATGATAAACCTCGTGGTGCAATCCCTTAATTTCTTGACTTTCTCCTTATTTCTTAAAATAAATATGAAAATTGAATGAGATTCTTATGAATTTGGTATTGTGGTACTCTAATTCTGTTTATGTTTGCATTTTAAAGCTGGAAAAAATTTCAGTTTTGCAAAATTAAACGTGCATGTAAATTTACACAAATAATTAAGCACTAAGATTCACTTTGGGCGAAAATAGCATTTTTCTTACTTAACTAGAAAATATGAAAATTATATCGCGACGATCCCAAGAGAAAAAAAGATATAATTTTTGTGTTTCTCTCACAAAGGACTTCGCACTAATTGTATGGAAAATTGGATCCCGGTGATTGCGGTGAAATGAGTTAATTTTCATATATAAGCTGTGTACTTTCCTTTTAGGAGACACAAGTGTCCTCTTATCATTTGTTATTCATTGAATGCAAAAAAGAATAGAACAATGTTTACATGTCCTAAAACTTTTACGTAACTTATGTGATGAACAAAAATGTTATATACACAAGACTGAATGGTTTACTTTTAATCTAGTATATCAAAGGTATACAACTAATGTTCCTTTAAGACACCATAGCTCAAAAACTCCATTATTAATCCTTATAATGTTTATAACACAACTTTTTGTTCATCACATTATAAGCTCATTATATGTGAAAAACTAACTCACTCAATTTTTTCCAGTAAATTAGTACGGAGTTCTTTAATTTTTTGGAAAATTTATGCTATCGTAGACTTTGATACAATAAAATGCGATATATATATATATATATATATTGTTCAAAATAAATCACTTATATTATCGCTATCGAATCTAGATGGAACAATACATTCAATTTAACAAGTGTAATTCTGTGAAATTTATTTTAAGAAGCAATGATTCACCCAACTGGCACAACAGATGATATAGACATATATTTATACAATATACGTAAAACAATCAAATTAATTTGTCAAACAATGAATAAATACAATCTTAAAATTCTAGATTAAATAATGTTCGGAGATGGACAGAGAAGGCGCGAGAAGTATTGAAAAAATACTGCTTATCATTTTCGGTGGAAATGCAACGGTAACATATATATACTTTATTCATTAATTTATATTATATACACATGACGCGTAAACATCGACACTCATGTCGGAATAATATGTTATATCTCTTATTAAATAAAAATAAGTCCGGATGTGCGGCGTAATTTGACGATCTTGATCATCGGGGATCGATCAACCGTGTACAATCATCTCCGATAACATTCTTCGCGTGCCTCTTCTTTATATTCGAAGAAACGCGTGATTCATCGAGCTAACGCGCATCCGAGAAATGCCCTTTTTTTTTTTACATATTAAGTGCATGTTCAGTTTCCAAGTCGAGAAATATATTTGGCCGTCGACCATTACGGTCATGAGCCTGAATCCTATTATTTAAAATTGATTTTAAAATAATAAGAATCTACGATGTACAACGTTACTTGGAAAAAGTTTAAAAATAAATAGTATTTGAAATTCGTCGTCATCACACCACGACGCTAGTTAAGTTTTGAATTACGGACAACGCGAAATGAAATCGATTTAATTTAATACAGACAATCAATATCTTGCGAAATATTTCCGCGAATTCGGAAATTTGTTTTGTGTATCATACTATATAGAAAAAAATTAAAAGAAGAATATAACGAGATAAGAGGGTAGAACTCGAATTTATTATCGAAACATTCGCAATTGTCTTTTTTAAAAAAGTTTCGATTTAAACGTTGTTTTTTTATATATATATTACTTAAACTTAGAACGAATAGAACGTCACATGTATTACAACGAAGCGTTAGTAAAATAACAATAGCGGAATATCTAAATAAAAGATATAAGAAGCGAAGAAAAATAATAATTATGTCACAGACTTCTCTGTAATTAGGGCTAATATGCCCTCGTCAAAATCTATCCAAACAATAAACTTGTATGCGCGGTCGCACTTACATTCAAGATATACAGCAGCACGACGCACGCTAATAGCATAACAGTGACAGAAATTTCCATGTGTTCTCTCGTACGATGACGAGAGATCAGGTACGTGCGGTCGGTTTCTTTTTTTTTTTTTTTTCTTTTTATGTAATCGATCCTGTTAAGATCACAATTAATGCAATCGATTGCCAAGCGTCAAGAAACTACGGTGTCTATTTTTTACATGGCGATGGCAAATTCGTGGTCGGCGTGGGTGTAGGACTGCTGCTGCAGGACCTGCTGTGTACACGTTGAGGTTCGACGCTCAGGAAGGTTCTGTCGGAGGTCGGTGGTGCGGAAACGATTTCCGGCTCCGCGGGACTTGGACATCTCCTCTGGCTACAGTTGGACGCCGTGCTTCTCGACAGCGTCTGCAGTGGTATCCGGTAGATTCTTATCGGCTTCCAATCGCCTTGACTGTCTGTGAAAGGATGATTCCCCAAGATTTGGGGAGGATGACCTCAATACGTTTGTCAAACGTTCAGAGATAGCGATCGGATCGATGAGGATTTTAAGGTTTAAAGGAGGTAAAGGCATTCAAGATCACGTACTCTGAACACTCGATCGAGAGGAGGACGAAGACTGTGCGGTCAGTGGTGGACTGCAAGGCATTTCCTCCTTCTCGAGAGGCTTTGAGTCCAATCGGATTCGCTCACACTTTCCTGGGAAAAATTCCGGCGCCGTGGTTGCGAAGAAGACGTCCCGTTTCGAGGTGATCAAGTTGAGACTGGGCATGGCGATCGTGTGAACCAGGTTGCCGTTTATTATCAATCGA